AAGAATTCTGAAATTGAAACAGTTTTAGAATGTATGAAATTTCAACTAACCATTAGAGAACTTACTGAAGAGTATATTTCTATTTCGCGATAATTTTCAATACTGATTCGGTACTGGAGCAACGATAGGTGTCATTTCCACGTTTTAGTTATTTACTATGCCAGTGATAAAATCATCTGAAACACACACACTTTTGTTACATTATCAAACAGATTTCTTCTTTAATTCGTACAAGCATTCGATGCGAAATTTTGCATATTTTTTTTTGTTTACTTCCTTAAAGTATTTTCTAAAATAAATAAAAAATCGTATTACTTCATTATACTACAACATAAAAAATATTAGACTGTGTTTAAACCCAATCATATTCTCAGTTGGGATAATTCGATAAACATAGGATATGCATAGAAATCATTTGGTATAGTTACAACGTTTGGAAGTATTGTTAGTTAATAATTCTTAACAACATAAATATTACTACGAATGATGGAGTATAGGAGGCATACAAAACTAGAGTGTAGAAGAACAAACTTTTCTACTATACATCACATTGGATGGATCGTACAGCAAGGCAGTTTGTGTACTGTGAGGTTTATTACTTGATATGCGATGCGCACACAAATAACTAACAAAGTTAGCCGTTGTACTGAGATAAGTCAGATACTAATGCTTACGATTTCAATATGAAATAATACACGCTAGAATAAAAATGTGCAGAGTCATTTGATGTTTTCCCCATTAAGTTCTATCCAAGTAATGATAAATTGGCATTCGAGTTGCATGCATGTGCAACTCTTTAAGGCTTGAATATGTCTTTGACTCGTTCCAAATCTGAGCAAATTTGTTAATGCTTCAAAAAAGTCCTTGCAAACACATAAGTGTTAAGAAGAACATGAAAGTTCTTCAAAGTGTTTTAGCTTTTTCAAGTAAATCATTAATGAATTTCTGAAACATATAAACAACTCGTGTTAGTAACAGTTACTGATCTTTAGAAGAACCTTGCTTTCAAAAAGTACGGATAGGGGAACCACAATTAAGCTATTTCAATTTACTTGAAAAACACTTTGCTGTTCTTTAAATGAACCATTTTAAATTAGGAAATTAGTCACAGAGTATTAAACTCTAGGAAGAAGAATATTATTACAATGGTAAGTCACCAAATAGTTATACCAAAAGTAACATATTAAAAATCTAATTGAGTATAATTATGTATTACTTACATTTATATCATGTGGTGGCTTTTTTGTGTCTACCAGTAATTCCTATAACATTGAATAATTATAAATTCAAGATATATATATCCAGTTACTCTAGGAAAAATTATACAATATGCAATCACTTACTTGCAGAAATCTCCGTCTGTGATCATCGCTATCCATGTCAAGAAGTTCGTCTATGTCTATTTCAACTTCTCGATTCTTACCACTATCATTCTGTAAATTAAAAATAGTAAATTACAGTAAATATTTATTTGAGAAATTTAAATCAGTAAAGGAATGAGAGCCCTATCAAAGTATTATTTAACTTTAAACTTACAACTGACTCATATAATTTTTCTAGCTCATCAAATAACCACATCTCCACTGCGAGTCTTTTGCGAATAAGAGACATCTGATGAGACCCATACTTAGCCGTCAAGAATTTTTCTCGGCGTTCTTTTACTTCTCCCTTTTCAGTAAATGCCACATGCAGATTTGCACGGGCTGGACTACGTTCTGCAGTAAGTACCCCACCTCCTTCCATTATAAAACTACCTAATAGTTCAAAAAGATTGATAATAAAAAGTATAAGAAACAAAAGGGTATACCATAAAATGTAGACAAAAAAATTATGAAGCATCTGCACACTGTATTAGTAGACTTTGTCTAAGTTAGACTCATAAAGAACAAAATATATAATTATTAATTGGAAATGTTATTAGGCAGACAATTAATGAATTAATTTAAAAAGAAATTGGAGACACAGGATGAGCAAGGATTAAAGAACGTATAAGAGAAACACGTAGTACTTTTACAGAAATCATATGTATATCTACACATCTTTATTATCCCATAGAATAACATGCTTATATTACAAACAAAACAATTGTATAAATGAAAATTGAAACTTTACTGTGAATTTAATTGATGGAATTACGCGCGTTTCAGAGAATAAAAATTCCATTGTTATGGACAGTATTGTCGTGTAATCGAATTGATACAAGACCGATGAATACAAATAAAACAAATTACGGAAAAACGTTCCTCTCTTGGCCAACGCGTGTTTATAAACGTTACAAAAGAATTCATTCAAACGCGATTACTTCAGAAGAGATAAAGAGGCAAGTTCTATGAATAATTATCAACTAATCGAGGCAAAAATGTAATCCGGATTATTCCAAGCGCGCAATGCCATCGCCGTTTTTTTTAATTCTCCGATTTAACGAGTCTTAATAGTACCGATTTTATTTCATTAATCTGGATCTAACATAATATATAATCGACGAAAAATAAATCTTGTTTATTTATGCGTACTGTAAAAGAAATTATTATAGAATATGATTTTCAAATATCAACTGGCTATCTAAAATTTTGAAATTATGAAATTTCGAGGTACAACAGTGGTTCTCAACTACAACAATAATCGAAATAGTTCGGCTTCGAACTGTATATTTTTTTCTAAACCATTTTTTGTAAAATTCTATCACTTCTCAGTAACAAAATAAAATGATCTACGAGTTTAATTATATTAAATAATACGTCGTTTTCATTACAACACTATTTATATTGTTTATAATATTATTATTTTATTTTATTCGTAGTCGTGTTTATCATACGAGTTTAAAGTCCACTGCAATTATTATTACAGTTGAGAATTATTTTAATGTTTAACAGTGTTATGACAATCCCTTAAAACGTGTAACATTAAAAATGATATTTTACAATAACGATGGAACGTTATCGTAAAATAAAACGTTATTAATAGCTGATAATATGAAATTTATTTACGCTCGTTATTCCTTTCGTTTTGCATTAAATTTTATTGAAAAAAACGCACTTGTTCCGATCATGGTATTCCTTTGTTAGTGCAATTGACGTACCTCGAGTGTTAGTGAGCACAATCGCGGATACTTTCCCACAACAAGTCGAATAATTAGCGCACGTGTGAACCACTCATTTTACATGCTACAATAAACAATGGACTTTGGAAATTTCGTTTCCTTCGTTAGCGCTATTGAATGCGAATGTAACCTCGGCGATGCGATGCGACGCTTTCTTATACAAACACATGAGCAACGACGAAATAAAACCGCCACGAGCAATCCGATAAAACGCGATCAAACCCAATAATGCAGATTAAAAAAGAAAGAAACAGATAGCTGTGTACAAAGGCCAAGAAGAATAAATAAATTTGCACTCGGCGTTTTAATAAAAGATTAACAACTCCTCGTCATCGTTCCCGTGCATATAAACAAAGACAAGCTTATGATTCCAACGCGAAAGACGCCATTACCATGAAAAACAGTATTATTAGTGCGCGTTCGTACGATCGCTTATTGTTACTTACTCTTACAGCCTCTATTTCCAAATTTCTACTATTCGAGCCGTAACGCACTATCGTAATGCCAGGATCCATACGAATAATAAACTTTCTTAAAGGTAGTCGAGAGTGATAGCATTTTTTCACTAGCCATGATCACCATAAGCTGCACACAATTTACCTAGTTTCTAGCGAATTACTGTGTCGGTAAGCTAGGGACATTGTGATGTTCAAGTTGCTCGCGAGATGGATATGTAATCGATAGGCGGCAAATCAGGTTATACTTTTTCGTTTAAATGATTATAAAACATTAAATTTTTCAAATGATCCATAATCAATTGAAATAGTACAATTCTCTTGTTTAATATGTTACATATTTGAATGGTTGATCAAAATAATTATTTTAGTTAAATTACTACAATACGAATGTTTAAATTAAAAGAATTTGGGGAAATATGTATGGAGGGTGAAGGTTTTAAATAATAAATAGACAGAAGGTGGTGAAAACTATTTTTTATTTAGAAACAATTCAATCTTGACTGGCATCAACATTCTCTGTTTGGAGACCTTTGAAAGAAGCAACTGGTATGTATGTGACGAGGGTGTACAGTTTGTTGGGGGAGTCTTCATCGTCGTTTCTCCTTCTGTTCAAGCGTACACGAACTCTGAATGGTACATTCCTAAAGAATTCATAGTTTAATTAGATTAGACTACAAGGTAATACAAATACGAATGAATATAATGACATTATGTTGAACGTAGATTTTATAAAAAAAACAAAATATTTTTGCTTTTACATTAAGTTACAACACTCACCTAATTCCCTTGGACCACAGTTGCTTGTTAAGACGGGTGTCAATCCTTACATCTGGGGTACCCATTTGTTTCTCAGCAAATTTACGGATCTCCTTAATTGCTCGTGGTGCACGCTTTTTAAATCCAACACCATGCAAACGTTTATGAAGGTTCACTGTATATTCACGAGTCACTACCTCGTTGATAGCGCTCATTCCCTTATTCTCTGTGTTCTTGGTTTTCGCCATTTTTCCCTGAAAACAATACTGTAATGTTTTTGATGGCACAACATGACATAACCAATATATGAAACCGACTTATAACAGATGCAATTTATAAGAGAAAAAGAAAAGATAAACAGCTTGAATTTGAAATCTATATTTGTTTAAATAAAAATATTGTTTAAGTAAATCATTAGATAATATTTAAATAATTCGTGTTATGCTAATAGACAAAACAATAAACGAAACAACGATTGCATCTGACATAGGCATTCAATAAAAACAATATGGTATTTTTGGGCAATAATACTAAAACGATACAATTCTGCAACAGATAATTAATGTAACTGTACCAAAAGTATTTTATTTAGAATAATGCACAGCTGGATGTTTCACGATTTTACTTCCCGTGAATTTGACATTACCTCTCGTTAGAACAGTCCAACGTAAAAAGAACCGAAGTTTCCCGTGTTCCAAAACTCATCATCTTTGTATCATGCAACATTGATGATGTTTGTTGCATAAAAATGCGTATATAATATGTTAACAATAAAATATTATTTAATTACCTAATTGTTTAGACAAATTGTTATAATATACACTAATATGTACTAATATTTTGTCATTAAATAACTTTTTTTTGTATAATTTTTATTGTTACTAGCATAATATCTCTATTAAGTTAGTTCTCAATCGCGCCTGTTAATTTTAGTTTCGTTGAATTTTTCAGATTTTCTTTATTTTAATTAATGTATTCTTATGAAACGATTTTGCTCATACTATTAATATCTTATGAAAATTGTAATTAAAATTTACGCTAAATGTTATTGGGAACATGATTCTAGTGACAATGTTTCTTGAGGACATCTGTATATAGTTTTACCATTGAGATTGTTATACTAGATATATTGTATGACGTAAGGAAGATCGCGCCACGATAGCTTCGAGGACGCTTGCAATGGCGGAAAATGGAGTCTATTAACCTGTGATGTTGATACAATTGTTTTTATCATTAAAAAGCTTTTCATGGAATTAAAATGGCTGGTAAAGTGTGGAATTCAGAAATATGGAAAGCATGGGATAAACATGGGAAAAATGATTTGTAAGTGGTTAACGCATTAACGTCAGAAGTGCGTTCGATTAATATTGAATTGATACTCTGCATACTCTGTGCAATTGATGGTTGCAACTTATCTCTCCTGTTTCTCGCTCTTCTGAAGAGTTAATTGTCAATTAACGACTGTTTGCAGCCTCAAGTTAATCAAGCACAAATTTAAGGAAGGCAACACTACAGGTGAATCTCTATTCTACGATTTTTCCCCAGCCAGCTTGGCTGCATGTTCCAACATTGTAGATCTGTTTATGCATGCTAAAGTCCTTCGTTTCTGTGTTTCCAAAGTTATCGATAACTCCTTTCATGTTAAATTTGATGTTTCGTTCAATATGCTGCATTATAATGTATCTCTTATTTTTAAACATTACAAATACAAATGTAAATTCATTATGTTTTATTTAAATTTAATTACGCATTATTTGTTTCTTTAAAAGTATATGAAAGTTAACGAGAGACTTAACAGATGCGAATGAATATAAAACCGATGATGTAATTTATATTTTTATGTGATGTTTCCTTTAATTTTAGAATGGAGAAGAGGATTTTACGAATTAATATCAAATGGAATCCATGGGAACATAAAAAAGGACAGTGTAGTTCAGACATTAGGTGAACTCATGGTGAGACACGATATTTATGAGCTAAGAATATTATTGCATACACAAGATACTTTTTACAATATGTTTTTTCATGTACAAATATATCTATTTGCAGAATATTGATGGAGCAATACCATCTGCGATAGTAGATATATTTACACTAATAGATGCAGAAGCACATAATGAAGAAAGAAATAATTTTTATTATATTGTGAAAGAATCTGAAAAGGTATCATTTTATAGGATAACAGTAAACGTGATTCAAGTATTTACGATCGATTAAAAACAAACACAATGTCCTAATGACATAATTTATGTCATTTGCTTTTTACACAGTTTCTAACAGATAGGATATTAAAGGAACGTTTAGAAATTGATACGTTGCAAGATGTAGGAACATTAAAAAATAAGAATTTCCAAACCAAATTCATTAAAGTGAAGACAAAATTGTAGTATGTATTTATTATTTTTCACTGTTAAATACTCAATACAATAACTTTAGGTGAAGAGAAACGTTTCTAACGTTTATGTTTTTCCGCAGCTATAAGCAACGGAAGTTTAATTTATTTAGGGAAGAAAGTGAAGGGTATTCTAAACTCATAGTGGAATTGAATCAGGAACGTCCAGGGAGCGAAGTACCAACGATATTAGAAATTGTTAAATCTCTTATTGGTACGTGTTTAAAATGTTAATTTTTTTCTATATAATTCACTATCAGTTCTATAATACAAAAGACATATATAACAACATGAATATAATTTTTGTAGGCTATTTCAATTTAGATCCTAACAGAGTACTGGACATTTTACTAGAAACTTTCGAGAATCGACCTCAGGATGATGCACTTTTTATTCCTTTAATTCGTTCGTATATGAGTGATCAGCAGGTACTCTGCGAAGTTTTAGGATTTAAATATTGTTCTACTGTCAATGCTACTCCTTTCTCATTGCAAAAAGTCACTGCACTAATGTTGCAACATGGTGTTATTAAATTGGACGATATATTGCCATGGCTAGTACCAGATGATAGGACCATTATTAAAGAACATGAACAGGCTATGAAACAAGCAAAAGAGTATGTTCGTAAGTTGAGTGTAATTTCCACTAAAGATAAAGAAGAAGTACCGGAAGAAAAAGAGAATCTACAGGTACAAATTGATATTTCTCTGCACGATCTCAGCATCGATGAAGTTCTTGATCACATGACTATCTTTTAATAGGATAAGTATGCGAGTAATCAAAAGTACGGATTATGCGAAGCACTGTTAGAAATAGGAGCATGGGAAGTTGCACAAAACTTGTTTAATAGATTACCAGAGCATAGTCTTACGGATCAACGTCCTATCGCATTAGCGTTGTGCAAAATGATTCAATCTCTTATCGAAAATGTTTATCGCAAGTACGTCAAGTTGCAAACATTTAACATTATTTATGGTTATTCGAATGAAGTATGCGGATTGAATTTGCATCATAACTTTTATTATCTTCGTTCCATGTTTCTCTATATTTTTTTAAAGACGATTTTCAATTTGCATTCTATTCCAGACATTGCATCATATCACCAAAATTACAAGGTAGAAAAGTTCCAGCGTTAAAGAGCTCTCTCGCTCCGAAGCCAATAGAAGATCTCGAAGAGATACATGATCAGTTGTTGCCAATGCTCATAGTCCTCGGTCCCAACCTACACCATGACCCCGTTTTAATGTATAAAATCATGAGGTTGTGTCATGCAGCCATCAGACAATGCTCGTTAGATTCGAACAAGCAACCTGTCGATAAAAACAATAACCTGTATTATGATGTATTGACTATACTTGACGTAGCATTGTTGCCCTCTTTGTCATTCATGGATTGCAATTGTTGCGTTGCGGAAGAACTATGGAATATTTTAAAGTATTATCCATATCAGAACCGATATTGTTTGTACGCGCGTTGGAAGAATGATACACCGTTGCAGCACGCTGCTCTTCTGCGAAAGAGAGCGGATGCACAGAAAAAGATCAAATCCATTATGAAGAGAGTGAGCAAAGAAACCATTAAACCCGTTGGAAGATCAATAGGGAAATTAACGCATTCTTCACCTGGTGTATTATTCGATTATGTTCTTATACAAATCCAGTTGTATGATAATCTTATAGGTACGTTGAAAATATCCTAGACCAGATGTATTTAACTGCATCTAATTTTCTTATGTATTGCAGGACCTGTTGTAGATTCTTTAAAATATTTGACAAATATTTCGTACGATGTACTTGGTTATTGTCTCGTGGAAGCACTAGCTGGCGCTGACCGTGATAGATTTAAACACGATGGCACTAGCATATCCCTCTGGCTCCAATCTCTCGCTTCATTTTGTGGAGCTATATTCAAAAAATATAATATTGAACTTACCGGTTTGCTACAATACGTAGCTAACCAACTGAAGGCACAAAAAAGGTATATAATCGAGTTGAAATAATTTTCAATTTTAGATTGCGTACATTGTTAACTAGTTCATTAAATAGAAATAACAAAACAAAATGAAATGTGGTACTATTTCCAGCTTAGATTTATTAATATTGAAAGAGATAGTACAAAAAATGGCAGGTATTGAAGCTGCCGAAGAAATGACTTCTGATCAGTTAGATGCTATGGCCGGTGGTGACTTACTAAAAAACGAGGTAATCCAAGTCACCAGTACAGACAAATGAATATTAGTATCTTATCTAATAAAATTATTTCTAGGCTGGCTACTTCAGTCAAGTGCGTAACACAAAGAAATCATCTCAACGGTTGAAGGAAGCTCTTGCTGAGCATGATCTTGCTGTTGCTTTGTGTTTATTAATGGCACAGCAAAAGCATTGTGTCGTATATAGGGAAACAGATAAATCTCATCTTAAACTTGTCGGTAAATGTCATGTCTATAGAATTCGTTTCCTTCTTGCATATGGTTTCTCCATGAGAATAAATGGTATCCTATTTAAAATTACAGGCAAGTTGTATGATCAGTGCCAAGATACGTTAGTTCAGTTCGGAACATTTTTGGGTTCTACAATGACAGTAGACGAATACGTGGAGAGACTTCCTTCTATACATTCTATGCTACAGGACAATCACATACATTCTGATGTTGCATTTTTCCTTGCGAGACCAATGTTTGCCCATGCTATTAACGTAAATGATTCTACTTTCATTGAGTTCAATTCAATTTCAGTGATCGAATAGTTTGAATAAATAAACCACTTTTAGATTAAATATGATGCCCTGCGTAAAGCTGATCCAAATTACAAGAAAATGTCTACCGCTATGAAACAAGCGAAGTATGCAGAAGCTGCGCAAGCAGTAATGGCGCCTGTTGCTCAATCCGTTAGACCTTTGCACCCTTTGAAAGTGTGGGAAGATATTTCACCTCAATTTCTAGTAACATTCTGGTCCCTGTCTATGTACGATTTATACGTTCCCGTTGAGAGCTATCAACGAGAGATTAACAAATTGAAGCAGCTCGCAGCGCAAAGTGCTGATTCCAAAGACATGGTATGCTATGACCAGTGTCCTAACTCTGGAACAGAATATTTTTAGCGTGACTGTACAATTTTTCATCAATATATTCTTTCTTGTAGAATGTTAGTAAAGGAAAGAAAGAACAAGAAAGATGTACTACTTTAATTGAGAAACTGCAAGATGAAAGAAGAAAACAAGAAGAGCACGTTGAAAAAGTGTTCGCATATCTGAGGTAAATTCTTATTGATGGGAATGATTATATGATTTGAATATTATATTAAAATTCTAAATACTTCTATTGCCAGACAAGAAAAGGATACGTGGTTCTTGTCACGAAGCGCCAAATCAGCGAAAAATGAAACGATAACGCAATTCCTTCAATTGTGTTTGTTCCCTCGATGTACATTCACCACTGTAGATGCCATGTACTGTGCGAAGTTCGTTCACACTATACATTCTTTGAAGACTGCAAATTTTTCGACACTTCTATGCTACGACAGAGTAAGTACAATTAATGGGAAATGGAGGAGCGAGTGTTTCCCTAATCATAACTAAAATGTTTGCAGCTTTTCTGTGATATAACATATTCAGTTACCTCGTGCACCGAGAACGAAGCGAATCGTTACGGAAGATTTTTGTGCGCCATGCTAGAAACCGTGATGAGATGGCATTCTGAGAAAGCCATATTCGATAAGGTACACTTTTGTTCTGATATTTTAATGTTTCATTGTCAGTTATTTGTTCAATGTTCATTCTACTTCAGGAATGTAGTAATTACCCAGGATTTGTAACGAAGTTCCGAGTTAGCAATCAATTCTCTGAAGCGAACGACATGGTAGGGTTTGAAAATTACAGGCACGTGTGCCACAAATGGCACTACAAGATTACGAAGGTATATTTACCTTTCGCACATTGCCCCTAACAAATTATAGATTGGAGTATTAATATAATTTCCTCTAGGCTATCGTAGTTTGTCTGGATTCTAAGGATTACGTACAAATAAGAAATTCTTTAATAATATTGATAAAAATATTGCCACATTTTCCTGTATTGGCTAAGTTGTCTCAAATCCTTGAGCGTAAAGTGGAGAAAGTGAGGGAAGAGGAGCGTGGGCAACGACAGGACCTCCATGTTTTGGCTACGTCGTACAGTGGTCAATTGAAAGCTAAAACTCCGAACATGATCCGTGAAGCAGACTTTCACCATGTCGGCGACAAAGTAATTACTTTCGATTATCCTAACTCTCTGTTTGTGAGGTTTTAATTTCCAACATCTATACAATGAAATGAATAATAAGCGTCCGTAAATTTAGTGTTAATGTAAAAAATTCTTAGTGCAATAATAACATTTTTCCTGTAGGCTGGAAAGACCCAAGATACTCCAAACAGCGACGCGTCGGAGAAAGTGGGCGATGGAATCTCTAGTAAAGAGATAACAAATGGCGACACTCGAATTGAAAAAGAAAATAAAGACCAACGTGAGAAGAGAAGTGCATCGAATCAACTATATCAGTAGGTTACATGATATGTATTATACTTTTAACCTAAGTATACTTTTTTGAAAATTCTAACATTTCTTTTAATCTACTATAGCGAGAGTTCTGAGAAAGTCAGAAAAAAGGAGGAAGGTAAAGAGAGTACAGAGGGAAAAGACAAGCACCTGAAAAAAGAAGAGGTTAAAGAAGATGATCCCATGGACAAGAAGGATCGTAAATACTACAAAGTAAATATACGTTTTACACAGATCGTAGTTCAATATTGGAATAGTGGATTATCGTCTAATGTCCATTTCAGGAAGAACATTATTATAGTAGTGGAGTAGATAATTTAGATCGGGATCTTTCTAGTGTATCAAATAGTAGTGCTAGTTCCGGACCAACGCAAGATGGATCTGACAGAGGTTTGTATTGAAATAATATCTAAATAATAAAAGCATAACGCTGTATAGAATATTCTCCTTTATGATACCGATAATGTTTAATTATAGATGCCAAAAGAAGAAAACTTGAAAATATACAGAAGGTGAGGATGTTCACTGTTTAAATTTGTTTATTTATATTACAACTTTCGCGTTTATTCCGTTAACAGGAAGGAAGACGCGCGGAAGGGAACTTGGATAAAAAGGAGCGTTCGAGCAAAAGCAAAATAAGGGAGGAACAGAAGGAACTCCGAAGAGAAAAGAAAGTGGGGCGGAAAAGGGTACATTTTAATATTCATTACGTGTAATACATTCGGTACGTTGATAGTATTCCATATAAAATTGGTTAATTTTATTCACAAAAAGCAGGATAGAGCAGACGAATCAGCAGTTACGACAGAACAAAAGAGAAGAAAAGACGATGAAAGAGGTAATTGCAATTTTCTTTCGAGATAAGAAATTTCTTCTTGCACGATGAACAATGAAAATTATTTTCAGCGAAAGGAGCGCATCAAAATGGCGACATGCCCGAACATAGAGAAAAACATCATTACAATAAGGTCGGTAGTTCGAGTCAATATATTCCATTGTTTACAAACAAAAAAAGAATGAAACAAATTGAGTCTTGAAAGTAATCAGTATTCGTTCGAATATATTGATTCGAATATATATGGAAAAAAATGATTTTTTTTATTGTCTTTTTTTTTATCTATCGCACTACTTCAACTATTTCTTCCGTAGTCGGCTGTTGTTCATTATTAATAATGAAATCGATTGTAAGTAGGTCATTTAGTCGTACTCCCTGTAATTGTTATGGATAACAGAGCGTAGCGTAGGATTAGAAAAAGTGAACGTCCCTGTTTAACGAGAATACGCAGCACACATTCGAATCACATGATCACACGTTGTTTATATGAATCCTATCGCATCACAGTTTTACATTTTTCCCGACATTTCTATCATCAATTAACTGAATCGTATTTCTAACACTATTCCTTGACCCCTTAGTTGATAAAGACGTCCGCTTCGAGTACATTGAAAAGACGAAATGGGAGACAATAGCAAAGACCAGAAAAAATAGGTGATACTATCAAGTACCCAAACGCCATTCGCAGGAACACTCGACATTCAGAAGATTCATATGAAAATGTATTTTCAGGAAAAGTCTCCCTACACAAAGGAACGTACTCATGAACGGGAAGGTCGTGAGGGCAGAGATAAACAATATCCTTTTTCAAATATACATTGCGCATCGACGTGATTCGATTGAAATACCAATATGTCGATTCAACTCAGCGAAAACGAAGTTTATTCTCCTTAATTCCTCAGCAATAGAAGGAGTTCGGATCCCAAACGAAGATGATGTACAACACTGGAAAAAATTTGACTTCACATTTTATATACTACGTTTGGTGTTGCATGTAATTAAGGTAGAATTCAAATAATAAAGAAAAAAAATAGTGAATAATTTGTATATTATATTGACGTCCAATTTTATAAAATAAACTAGGTAACAAAAAACATTCTTTGACACGTATTTATTTCAATTTGAGATTCGTAATCGGGATATTTTATGTCGTTTTATAATAAATAAGAACGGAGGTAAATAATTACAGTCTCATATATTCGTCGAACTCATAGGTATTTTATAAATAAATTAATATAAAATATATTATGGTGTAAATATAGTGTACTTCGTGGATATTCACGTTGTAATATTCATTGTACTGCTATTAAGTTACTGCAAATCATTGTTACGGTGAATTATTGATAAAGTTATAATAATACTGATCTGCTTTCAGACTTTCCTCCTCTAGGCGCTTCAGTCTTAATTTCGCATCTTGAAGGATATCTTCCGTTGAACTACTTTCGCTGATGACTGTATTTGTATTTGCAGTTTGAGTCGGTATTTCCGTGTTAGTAGGCCTTAACACGCGTATTCCTTCTATTTGTCGAGACAGCTGAAGAGCACGTTGAGTTATTTGCTCTATTTTCAACTGTTGATCTTGTATAAGAGCATTTAATTCTTCTTTTTCTTTAGTAAGAATCCTAACTTTATCTTCTTGCAACGCATTGATCGTAAAGTCTGTTTGTACTTCCATATTCTGTACATGTTGGCTAGTAGATTCTTCAATTACCTTTTTCTGTTCTTGTAATTGTCTTAAATCCTCCTCCAATTTCTTACAACCATTTTGCTCTTTCTGAAGTCTACAAATAATTATGCATAATTATATAGAAATTCATTAATATAATATATAAATTCTTACCTATATTTTTCTTGCATTAACAATCTCTCTTTCAATGCCAACTCCATCTCTTTCTGTAGAATTTTCTGTTCACTACTCTGCCTTTTTTCGTTTAATTCTTTTTCTTTTAAACTCATTGAATGCATAACATTCTGAGAAGAAGTATACTTATTAATCAAGTGAAATAAGATTATTTAATTATTTAATAATAGTTTTGCTACCTGAACCTGTTGAAGCTTCGCATTTAGTGTTTCGATTTGTTGTTCAACAAGTAATGCTTGTTCTTTCAACATTGTTTGTCTCTTATGTATTTTGTTATTAACTATTTGTTTGTGCACAGATATTTTCTTCTTTAGTGCAAGTAATTTCTCTACTTGCGAGTTATAAGACATCCAAGAAAATTTTGTCTGTGTAGATTCATTGCAAAGAGTAGTGTTTTCTTTTATGGGTACATTGTTGTGCATATTGTATGAGAACATAGTTATACATTTTAATATGCATAATAAAAGTGGCATATCACTATCAATGTATTGTGATATAACATATTGTCCTTTTGTATCGTGAGGATTAATACCTAAGGTCTCTAATACATGGAATATGTAATCGTTCTGTAGTTTTTCATTTACACTTTTTTTATCTGTATCAGATCTTTGAGTTGTCTTATTAGAAAAATTGATTAACAAAGGTACTTCGCTGGCAAATACGGACAAGGTATAAGCATAATTATGATTAAATAAATATTCTGCTATCAGTAAATCGTAAACATACTGTTTTGCAGATTTTGGATGGTCACTTTTCAAACCAAGATCTTTATTTTTTAGTGCGTTAATTAAATTTTGACGAAGATGTGTTCTTATATTTGATATCATTCCAGATTTTTCAAACCTACAAACAATACAAACGAATAAAATTCCTTAATTTAAATGTCCTTTCATGCAAAACATAACCTATCGTTGCATCTTAATTTTTGTTTATGAACTTTATACACAAGTACACTTACCAGGTATACATAGATGAATAATATTCTTGGTCCATATTAAAACAAATAATTTTAAACAATTACCGAGTGAAAATGTAAGCAGTCAAATCTTCTCTTTTCAATACAAACAAATGCATCCATTGTATACAAAATTTAAATCGTGTAGAATATCGATATTCAGGAATATCGATGTTATACATCGATGTTGTTTATCGATCATTCACAATATTCAAATAAAATTCAAACTCCAATCCATCTTAAATCGTTTTATACGTGTTCGAATTTATTTATATAATGGTACAAAAATCGGTGTTTACATGCAATGTTCGAATAATTTCGCATAATTTAAGTAATTAAGTTACGAACAAAATATCGCACTTCTTTGGAAGCGATATTGATTGAATATCAATCGCTAAACGTACAAAAATAATTGTTACAACAAAACGTATGATAAATCTTTTGTCGTAGAAAAATTATAAGGAATACTGTCACACATTTTAGAAAGTACAAGTTACAATAGAAATTTTTCTTGTGATCATACATTTCTCCATAACCCGAAAAATTAAATAATTTACTTCGACAGAGGGAAGTCCGATTATCCTCCATGTACCTGCCGTGAAGGCCTACCATGGAGGGCCCCCATGGGCGTGGGATTGAGATTGAGCTCAATCAGCTGAGGCCGTAGCCTTACCAGCGTTGCTTCCCGGGGATGACGAGTCCGATGGAAGTAGACTGTTGGTAGCGCCGAGTTACCTTTCCAAAAACTCTACCAGATTTCCTGTCTGGTCCAGGAGCAGGTGGGACGCTGCTCACGCGCCGAGACCCTCGAAAGGTCTCTGCCCAGCATGTAGGCTTCAACCACTGCCACTACGAATCCAACACCAATTGCACCGGCCGAGAGGACCCGGGGACAAGCACCCATGGTACGCTCTCTGTGAGGGGACAAGGGGACTCGGCACTCGGCATATCAAGGTGTCTCGTCCACACCAAGGGTTGGTTAGACCCTAGCTAAGGACCCCGGGATCGCCACTTTCCGAACTGTGATCGCCACACGGCCCCTGAGGGGAATTTACTTCGACAATACACTCTACATAATTTTTTACATTTTATATACCTAATTTAAGAAAAATCGAACAGTTCAAAGGTTGCTGCCTTAAATCTTTGAGCCGGATATAATGTATCCTTTTTACATTTTATACATTTAATTTAAGAAAACTTGAACAGTTCAAAGGATGCTGCGTTAAACCTGTGAGCCGGATATAAAGTATCCTATAATCTAATAATAAAAATCATCCATAATATTAATAAATACTTTTTACAAATGGTACATGCACGACGGAGTTTTTAGGACACTTTCGTTTTTTTCGTGTCCGTATTTTTGTGTTTCGTTCGCTTGTTAGTTGCCACTGGTTCTCTTTTCTGCGAGAAATCGTACTTAGCTGCCAGTTGTTCCCTTATGAGCAGACCTCGAATCAGTTTTCTCCAATTTCCGTAAACCCTTTTATCTCTTTTCTCTTCAGCTCGCTTAGCAGCTTCAATTTGCTCAGCTTCCCAGGCTTCTCTTAACGTATCTTCAAATTCGGAACAAACGACATACCCTTCGAGTGCAGGTACTACACCCATAGATCCAAAGTTGAAACCCACAACAGCTGGTGCACAATCAATATTCAACTTTCTAGCAACTCGATTCAATCCTGGAACTATTAACACCAACACAAAATGTATAGAATTATTATGATATTGTTATCTATGTTTTAGTAACTTTCCTAATGATCAGATACTTACGATTTATATGAACAGTACCCTTTGGAAGCATACATTGTTTGAACAAATTTACGTTCCCATATTCATTCCGTGGAACAATACCATCCTTGGCTACAGGTGGTTCGTATTCCGTTGTTTGCCACTCGCCAAATATTTCTAACATCGAGTTCCTAATTTTTGTTCCAGACAACTGTTCAAAGCAAATAATTTTATATATTTATTTAACATGTTTTATGACGTATAATAATAACAAATTTGTAGTAATTACCTTATCATATTTTGGACGAGCTTTGACTATTTTGTAGGGTTCCTGGTTTGGTTTCACAACTCTAGCTTTTTTTAGCCACGTTTCTCTCGAGCAAAGGGTGTGTACACAGTAACGAGAGTAAATGGCTTCACCTGTGGAAGTATGACCCAATGGTACACAATCTGGAGGGTATAATGCTTCAAATTTCAGTAAATGTCTTGCAATAACATATAACGGGTGCCCTTTACATTCACCAATAGTTTTAGGTAAAGGTTGCTCCAATTCTCTGCAATATAAATATAATTTTAAGATAAGGAAAATATAATGAATAAGTTTCAGATACATAAAGGTCTGATGAAAAATATACTTGTTTAAAAGCATTTGGTCTTCAGCTCTAGAAATTGCAGTATCTTTTTCTTTCCAATAAGACAGTGTTTCCATCCACCATTTCTCGTCAACGCGTTGCTTGCGTGTAACTGTGAGCCAATGTGGACAATAACGTCTAGTCACATCTTTTATTAAGCCATTAGAGTTCCATGATACTATATATAACACAGGTTTCTTTGCTTTTTTCTGTAACAGAATATAAGTAAGTTAACATAAATAAGTTAATGGAATAAGTTATATCTAATTCTACTTAATCTTCTGAAGACTCACATATATTTCAGATATGCAATGGATTTTTTCTTCCATTATACTTGCACATATCCAACTTTCTTCCGATTCTAAGTATATTTCAGCCCAAAGGTCTGGAGTTTTTCTCGTTTTATCCGTTTCCTCATTTTCACTGTCGCTGGATAGTAGTTTTCTATTAGTTTTTTTACTATTTTTAGAACTTCCTGCTTTTTCTTCTTTACTGTCATTCGATTTTTTTTGTGTCACAACTTTCTTTTTCGGATGAAATTCCGCCTCGGAATTTGTAGAATCTTCCTCTATGTAATAGTTTGATTTTGTACCATCACTCTTTAGACATGTGGATTTCTTAGATTCATCATTATCAGATGAAACATTAACTTTTTGAGATCTAAGCTGCCTTAAGTTAGACATGTTTTTCTCATTTTTTACTGCTTTAGGTTCACTTTTTTCAGTGTTCCTAGCATTAGAATCTTTCGCTGCTTCTTTTGTAGTCTTAGAGTCTTTAGCATTATTAGATTTTCTCTTTTTACTATCATTTTGCAGTTTTGATTGTAAAACTTCTGCTGCCCTTTTCTTTGCTTCTATATTGGCATTTTTTTTTGCTTCTGGACTATTTTGAACCACTTTTGCCTTTTCAGGAGTTTCTTCCTTATTCAATTTTGAAACAGATTTTTTCTTAATTTTACCTGACTTACTCTTGGTCTTATCTTGCTCCCCATTTGAAAGGACTTTAAATATTGGATCATCGCTTAATGCCTTATGAGGTGGACAAAGTGATATAACTAAACGGCAATGTAAACCTAAAGCTCTCAATATAGCAACATACAACACCACCAACTCTCTGTAATCAGAAATCTTTTTCTCCTGCAATACCTTTAACAAACTTTCTTTATTAATGCATTCATTGTCATTGCCTTCAACAACTTCCAATGTAAATAAATGTTTAAACCATTTTGTAAATTTTTCCAAATATTTGAGATCAATCCTATTCTTTGGATAATTCTCAGATGACATTAAAGACAAAACAGTTGACATTATTTCAGGCTCATTTACTTGGCGGTTTAAATAAAATCCATAAGCCAGCCAACAGAGTAAACCTACTTTTTCTATGTACACTTGACTGGTTCTCAATCGTCTTCTTAGAATTGCTTTCAAATCTTTACCTCTCTTTTTCCTTCTGTTTAACATTAAACTGGTACCAGGTAAAGTAATTTTAACGCCATCCTTTGGGATTGTATATTCCGGGATATCTTCTACATCTTCTTCTTCTTCCTTTACCACTTTATTTTTAAATCCTTTTTTAGTGGAAGAAACTCCACTGGTCTCTCCTTGCAACAGAAGTTCAGTAATTTCATTAGATGATGCAGTGTTCAATTCTTTCTTCGGTACCAGTACCTTTGCTTCTTTCTTTGGTGGTAGAATGTAATCAGGCACCGCTTCCTCTTTTTCGACGTTGTCATCATTAAATTCAAGGTTCTTTATACTTTCTAAATTTTTTAGGATTTGTGTGAACATCTCAATGTTACCAGTTTGACTGACATCTTCGAAATCTTCGTTTTCCGAGTTATCATCATCATCATCATCAGTATCATTCTCTTGTGTAGCGACATTAGCTTTAAGTTGTTTATCCGTGTAAAAGGTGGAGTTTAAATTAATTTTATCTGGATCTACCAGAAACTCATCACTACTGTCAGAACTATTATCTTCCGATAAATCATCCATTTCAAAAATTTTGCGGGGTCATAGAATTTCTTATTCTTTTCGTTTAACCGTCACTTTATACCCTTGCATCATATGACATCAACATGTTTCTACGCTTCAGGCGTATAACAATAATATCACTTATTATTTTTATCGCACTGAAATAGCTTTAGAAAAAGGAAGGATGATTAAGAAAATAAATTTTATTATTGCGTAAAGTGTATTTGTTGTTGTTTTATTCATAAATTTACTTGTTAAATAATAGATGGTGCCTTGGTAGACATTTAGTACTTTTTCTACAGTGGGAATTCCCATAACAATATAGCAAAAACTTGAGACAAATTTTCATGGTATCTTTATTATAAAAAAATAATTTATTTTTTAATACTGAATTGTTTATAATTGTATTGTCTCTGAGATCATGACAGTAAAATATTTAAGCTTATTTTCAACAATATGTTTAAATATGGCCGATATTAGTTCCAAAATTATATCTAAAATGTAAAAAATAAAAACAACTTCTTTCGATTATGATTTCTATAAAAATTATTATGTAATTTAACTATCAAAGATTGTTGAAATATAATGTTGGTTCTAATTTTTTCCGCCAGATGTCGCCTTTGGAGTATAATTCCCGCCATAGGACTCTTCCCACTATGTTCTATGTGCATCGGAAAACGGTTGTTCATTTTCGTTTGGAACGTTCTTGGGTAAGCACATTTTACATTTTCATAATCCATCTGCATCTATGAACCATGTTGTTTAAATCACATAGAAAATAATATTTTTTCGATCAGTTAATACTCACCGAATCATTTATTGCTATATTTTTTTCTTAATTTATCACAAGAAATTAACAATATTTAAATGATGATATATATTGTCTCGTTCGTATGACAAATTTTATGATTACGATTTTAAAATGCTTCTGAATATACACAAAAATTCAAATATTTCTTGTTATTAGCTCGATAGTCACTGGAAGTATAATTTTTATTTTTTAGGTTCTTTAAATGAAATTAATCTCTCGAAGCGTGCCTTGGGTCGTGTTAGTTTGAACTTGTTAACAATTCTTCTAGTGAGTATTCTTCATTTCCCACGTGGTACATATTGCATTTAATATTCTACTTTAAATTTCATTACTTTTGTTGCGTTAAACGGTCAGTATTTTTCTGAATTCTTACGTCGTCGATTAACACGTGGCGTATTTATTAAAACTTATTTCTTTAATTCTTCGTGTAATCGTATTTTTACCATGATGTTATGTTACTGCCCCAGTCTGAATATTACATGAGGGATTCAGTTTTCTGAAGTAGATTTTATAAATTCATAATTAATTTATTTAAACTACATGTGCGTAAGTAAATGTAATATCTTTTCTTTGTAGATCCAATGAGCATGTTGAAACAGCAGCATTTCCTAACAAATACTTTTAGTGTTAATATGGGTAAGTTATTTTACATTTGTTTGGGTAGATATTAAAAAATAATAAGTTGCATGATGAATATTTAACACTTCCCCAGTCAATCAGAAGTATTATGTAGAGAGTGCAATCTGATAAGAACAAGATATAGGAGATATTGGATCTAAGATATATGTCTTTTATTAATAGGAATATTTGTATTTATAGGGGAGGATGAAAAGGGCTAGATTCATAGTGCAAGGAATAATTGAAAATAATTTCAATTAGAAAGAGGGTTAAAGCTAAAGCTACTAAGCTTGAGCGAAGTCTTCAACATGGGAAAGTAGAAAGGTAATATTATTTTCATGATATTCATAATTTTTTGAACATAATTTATGATGAATTTTTAGTTATCCCTGTCATACATATATAAATGGTGATATTATCACACTGATACATGTTCTGTCTTATACAAATGAATTGTCCAAGCAATACATTATAATGACCAAATAAAATTTTGCATTACAGGAAGTAAGATGCCATCTAAAACAAAAATTCATTGCAATGGACTTTCATGAGTAAGAAAAGTAAGCATTGTAATTTTTATGATTGAATTTGTAGTTATAGCAATAATTATGTGATGATTTAATTTTGACAAGCATATATCTGAGTAATTTGATGCAACCTTTATCTGATTACATCTTTAAATAAAATTGGAGTATAAAATAAAGTATGCATATAGTATTAAAAATAGAATTTTATTTTCTTTACAGATTCCTTAAATAGGTTTCACACAATGTACAAGTTTAAGTAACCTCGTTCTGGAATTAGGTGAGCAATAAATTTAATAATTCCAGTGCGTTTATTATTATAAACTGTGATGTTACCTATTTATACGCTAATATGACTTACCATCATGATTTGCACTTGCCCTCACTGAGTTATGAATTAATATTAATTAATGTGTGCTGTTAGAAAAGGTTATGTTAATTTAACGCATTTTGTTTTTCTGTTTCTTCAGGTACGAAGTGTGAGATGTGTTACTCGACAGTACAAAAATAAATATTTAAATCGAAAGGTACGGTATTTTTAGATTTTTCCTTATGTTTATAGTATAACCAAAAATCGAAGAACAAAACTAGTTAATGTTTATCTTTAATGATGTTTTACAATATACGCTATGAAAATTTAATGATAATCTATCTCTTTTTATCTGAAATAAAAGTATAATTTTATAATAATACGAGACGTATTTGTAAAGTTTGAGTTTCCATTATTTTCTGTTTCAGATAACCATAATAAGAGATACGGAATGAGCATCGTTTAGGAAAAATTAAATTTATTCCATAAAAGATGTATGATACATTCAAATGGTACTATAAAATGTAAAACATTACTAGACTATACTGTCGTGTTTACTTGGAAAGTAATAATGCACAAAGTGGTACTGATGCAGTAGTTTCAAATATAAAATTCAATTGTTTTTAATTTATTACTATCTTTACAATATAGCATCTTTCCTATAAAGAATATTAATGAAAACGTGACACGAAATAAAAAACGGAACTCCGGATTCAAATACATGATTCGTAAGTTTAAATGGCAGATACATTCGAAGCTTTAATTTAAAGTACAAATTTCATTAAGTGACTGCGATCGTCATGGAAAGCTACGTTTTCATCCAAATTGAGCATTAGTACTTGATTCATATATCTTGTTTTTTTATACATTATTTCGTAAAAGAAATATTAATTAATCAATAAGTATGTAAAGTAAATATATTTATAGGATGCTACAAATGCAGTATATAAAATTTATTAAAAATTCATATGAATAACTTTACAGTACGTTTAGCAAATGCGCCTACGCCCAAAAAAATTTAAATAAAAATTTCATTAACCCTTTAGCTACTCGTACATATTCACAAATGTGTCTGTCTAAACGCAAAATAGAAAAAAAAGTTGTACAAATGCTGATACATACATTTCTTATCTATATGTGATGATTTATGTACAAAGACATAAACATAAACACTCTTCGCACTTGTTTCATTGATGCAATCTCAACAAAATAAATAAAAGTCAATAAGCGACTCCCATTCCCGGCATAATTCATCAAATCGCTTATTGACGACAGCCGTAGTTAAAGGGTTAAAAATTGCTCATCAATGATTTGTCATTTTACGTTTGTCATGGACTGAGTTCAGACTACACGAGTATTTTTTTTCGCGTTTGTTCAATGTACTTTACGGAATAACATTATTTCCATTGTGTATGTACAAAAGAAAAAATTGTACAAGCTTAATATCATTTTCTAGTTTTTGGCATGAAGGCCGGTTACGCGGAAACTATTCTTACTTGAAACAAATGAAACGACATCTAACGCAGGTACAGACTTCGTGAGTGCCAATTCCTTTTTTTCTTTAAAGAATACTCATGCTAACGTGTAAAAAAATCAATATTATAATATTAATGTACATGTGCTCGTGAAACCGTGTGTGTAAGTGTACCGATGTACCTCTTTATAAAAGGAATATCCTTATATAAGTCGTTCCGGACTGAAAATGTGAAAACAGACAGTCGCGTAGTAAAATAAACCCTACATGTCGTGTCTTTGTTTTTCTTTTTCAGTAAATATTCTAGTGAAAAATAACGTTCAAAATCTAACGCCGTTGCTCAGTGGAAAATCCTATTGCATATTACAATGGTACTTGTGGGAATCATAGTTAAACTTTGAAATCTAAAAAAGTGTCGTGTCATTTAGGTTCACGTAATGCTTGCGCTGATATGGATACTTCCTTGTTGCACACCAGGGTCTTAGGAACTCGGTTCAGTTCTCAGTGCCTAATACTCTGGTCTAAAAATCCTAGATCAATTTTCATTTTTATCGTTGTGCAACAAGATTAAAGAGCACTTCGCGCGTCCTCTTAAATTCATTTAAGGAACAGATTCACCATTGGTCTTACGAGGTTGATTATTCGTTACTTCGCCGAATCCAGTTCGTAAGGATTTGGCCGGGCAAGCTGTGTTAGCAGCACCTTTACCATTTCAATGTGAAGTACGGCACTTGTGATAATTCCCGGTATCTGCGCGGAAACCAGCTAAAATACTGTTCCTTTAGCGTGATATTTGCCATTTAGACTACAAGTTGATCTCGTGCTAGGATGGATGTCACAATTGCAAGTGATACTCGGTAAGAGGATTGAATTCTTTTTGATGTGTAGCGTTCAACGCTATCACGTATCCCCATAGTTGCATTGCCTCGGCGCATACTCTTTGTATCGCGTCCACTTCCTCGTAGTCGAGATCCGTGCGCCAATGAAATGGCGCTACTTTGGAATTACGGAAAGTGCTCGATACACCGCCGACGTCGTTCTTTGTATGAGTATCCAAAAATCTTTTTACATTTATATGAAAATCCAAACCGTAAAAATTGTATAGGTCTTTCACGTGCTTGTAAGGATCTACGGATAAGTCTTCGTAACGTACTACCCTGTTGGACACGAAGACAAATATTATTCGAAGATAACTCTATGCACCTGACCCTCGATTTACGCGAATGAAAATCGGTACGAGAAAAAATGAAATATTGGTAAGAAACGCTGGTATACGTTTTAGAAACATGAGGGTCAGGTGTAGCACTATCTACGTATAAAGTCGTCAATCGATTTGCATTCCAGCAAATGCTAATTACGAAATAAATCACCTGAAAGTACGTGGGTATTTTTTAATTAATCGCACTGCAGCGCTGAAGTCGGACACCATGTCAGCGCATACCAATGCCGGATCCGAACAATCCGGTTTAGTGGGACACCATTCCCGATGCTTTCGTGATTGCAGGATTCCTCTTGGATCACGAATCAATAGAACTAACCGTATCCCTAAACTGTATAAAATTGATGATATATTTTCCATTGCAGAATATTGAAACCGAACAATTTTTAGATAACAACGGTGTTCTTACTCTTCTTGTTCTAAAAGTTTCTCCGCTGCGCGTAACCTCAGGCGAACAATTTTCATCGACTGAAAGGGGAATAATTTACAAAACTTGGAAACGAAACGTGGATCCCAACAAATCTTCTTGTGTGCTTGACATTGCCTCCACAAATGTGTATTGTGATTAAAGACCCAAGGATGTGTTTTACCGTAATCCAAGTATCGATCTGAGAGGATCAGTAGCTGTTAATTTTGTCGTACGGTTAATTATATGATTATGTATGAAAAATTTTACCGAGGTTATGGAACTCGCATCTCAATAAAGATTCGAGGTTTCGGAGGGCTTCGTCTGCGAGTGGGGGGCCTCGAATTTGCACAATTCCAAAGTCAAGCAGGGGTTCATAATGGTAAAAATTTGCTGGGTGTGCGTTTACGACATCACCTAAAAATGTGCTTCCACTCCTCCAACTTGTTAAAATTACGCTCCTCATTGGTCTCCCACCTTTTTCCATAACCAAATCTTCTAACTTGCTGCACCAAATATCGTATAATTATTACAAGTACATTGAGCTCGAATATATTGTAGGTGACAGTACACCTACCTAACATTAACACCATATTTTCCATTAGGATACTCGTAGTCTTCCATTTCCCTTTGGATCGCTTTTCTTTGTTGATCCACGACCTCCTGTATTCCGGAAAGTGTAACATTTTCTGTAGATCCCCTGTAATATGTCTGTGAAAGAGATATAGAATTTATGTTCAAAATTTTACTTCCTTTATGCAAAAATGTTCTGTAGTAAAAGCATAAGCAGAGGCGGTTAGTACATAATGTGAATTTTACTAATTTCCATTGCTATATTAAATGTGTTGTGAGTTAATTGCTTTGTTATGAGCGAAAGGATTAAACTCAGGACAGACGTTCACTTACCAACAGCAATCTTTTTTTGAAATAAAAATTTAATAAATATGTTAAGTACCAATTAATTTATGTTAAAAAATATTTTTCTTTTATTTGTTTGTAGTTATGTATCGATGTTTACTTAGTATATTGGTTTGTAATAGTAATAGCACACACAAATTTACTAGTACATGTGCATATCACTTACCGTTACTGGTTCTTGAATTTTGACGAGGCGGGGCCTTATCTCAACATCCTACATTAGAAAAAATACTGATAATTTAGTGTCTACATTGTGCATATTAGATAGTGATCACGATAATGTTGTTGACTTAACCAGGACAATATCTTTCTCCCTCTTTCTCTATGCAGGTAGTGAATTAGTGTCAAAAGATGTGCAATGGTGCGAATAAAAGTATGTGTGTATTATTTTCAGGTGCACTGTAAAACAATGAAGAACAAAAGGATTTTCATTTAAGTTTTCATGCAATTCTTAATAGCAGTATAAAATGTATGTAAAGCTGTTACATAAATATATTGTTAATGCTACTGTATTTGCACGACTAGTTAGCTAAATATTTACAGTTCATTATAAATATGTTAGCCTTTTGTGTGTTAGTAGAAAGCAATGTTTTCAAGTTAACAATAAATTACCCTGCTAATTTTCAAACTTGGAGGAAAAGATTTCCAAGGATCTCTGACAATAGATATCTGAAATGCTACATTATAAAAAAGGATAAGGAGAAGGTGGAAACAGGGAGAAAGAGAGCTGGTAACTTTTTGCGTGGCTCAAGAAGTTCATTGTTAGCATACGAGTGGAAAAAAGTTAGGTGCAAAAGTTAGACTTTACCATCAGAAAGAGCGTGTTTGGCGTGACTCAATTTAGAGCAATCCCCACCTCCGATTTTTTACTGACCGATATCACCGGCTGCAGTCGATGCTCGAGATAGCTGCTGTAGCGTTGATTAAATGCTAAGAAGAAGATGCAAAGGGACGCCAGGCCTATCAGACCATAGAAGCTGAGTCGTTTTGACATCCTTGGTCCTTCAACAAAATACAAAAGCATACATTTAAAGCCAACGTAACACCATGATCAGGAACACTTATATACATCACAAATACTCAAACAGAAGCACCAAATAAGAAGTAGAACAGGACATCGATTGAAATCAATTCTAATAAGAATCACTGGAAGCTTATAATGAAGCACTACAGATACTAAAACAACCGATTACAGTACCACTAAAAGCTACAAATAACATTGAAGTTTCCTCATATATATCAAAACACAGATTATAGCAATAAATGTCATATATCATGCCGAAGAGGAGAAGAAAAAAACACTGATTTGAATGAACAAGAAAGCAGTGGCATTTAAGGGGATCGTCATTAAAAGGCGTGTAGGGTTTTCGCTCACCTCAGGATCGTGCAGTTCGTTGCATTTGGAGGTTCCGAGTGGAAGATGCACGGCTCGTTTCCGTATCAGAAGAAATTCTCACGTTTTCCGTGACATTTTAAAGTAGCAAGGGAAAACGTATGAACAGCGTGCACCGATCATCGTGGTCCACTGACGCAGGGAGGCCCGTATTGCGGCTAAGGCGGCCACACGACTCGCCGTGTGTCCTCTTCATGTGTATAAGTGTTGTGTAAGATCCATCGCGTCCACTATGTACAGTCACTAGGCCGCGAGCATCAGCATGTAAGGCTGAAATATTCGCTGAGAGGCCACAATGGCCAACGGCGGACCGTCGTGATCACGGGAGATGTACAATGGACAAAATTGAAAGCCCCGCGTGCGACAATCTCGCGATCTGTCAGCGAGCGTTCGTCACGCGAACATCTATAATTATTTGATCGCGATGTAAAATTCAATTCAATGACGCTCGCCTCGACTTCGTGGAAATCGATCGCCGTAACGGGGCGGAACGACGATGGACAACGAAACACGTTGAATACAAAGTCGCGCATAAAACTATAAGGATCGTCGACTTTAATCATCAGAATAATGACAGTCGGTGTTCCTGTGCGAACACGATATCGTTAACTGCTTCGCACTAGCTAGTTTCCGGTTTGACGATTTTATATACGTTATCAACGATGCTCGTTGTAACTCATTTCTCGCCTAAACAATTTATCAGTGATCTCTCGGCATCATCGCGGTCAAGCTGACCCTGACGAGGAAACATTCAGCATCAACGATACCATAAAAATCAAAATATTCCGCTACCTCTCAACATCCTCCATCGCATCCCCAAGGTTACCTTCACAAAAGCGTAAAAAACTACAATACAAAATCCATCGATCTTAATTACAACAACTCTCGCGACGCTAATCAAAATCAATAAACCCGTCCAAACAAAAAAGAATCTCATCCCACAGGGCAGCGTCTCTTATCTCGCAGAGATAAAGCAGGTCCCAGGTCACTCTTGACCCTACGGATCCTACGACTAGATGTCGCCATGCTTCGCTGTAACGGTCGGAATTCAAAACAGGACGACGTGAAAGGGGGTTCCCACTTCAGGAGAGCACACCATTCATCGCCGTTCACCGAGAGAGCCCCAACATATGGGATTTCCCCCGGTAGGTTTAGGGTGAAACGATAATAAACAACGATTCCGGAGAAAGGCGACCCGTTGCGAAGCCCCCTGGTGGTGAGTTTTCGGTAGAGGGGTT